CTCACAGCGATCTGTATCATGCGCTAGATTGCTCTAGATCAAGGTTCTTACCCGAAGCCAACTTATTTTTTCCTATAGCCGTTTGATTTGTGGGAAATACTCCCTCTTTTATGCTATTGTTCTTCTACTACTGTATCCCTTTACTTCTGCTCAGCAGCTGCTACATTAGAGATCTGATGCTAGAATAGTACAAGTAATTAATAAGACAAGTTGCTGCCCTCTGGCTCTTTTGCAACATGTAACTTGTTTACTGAGTTGCCATCTGTCTTGGGAATTGGAGTATTCTCTCTCTGTGCAATTGCTAATTTGATAAACTGTCCCAACCTGACATAGAGAAGGAAACAGTCTGCAGGCAGACTACTTTGTTCTTAGCCAGATTGGGGTATATATCTAAGCATACTCTTGATTAAGAGCTTGCCTATGCTTTTCTTGAATCAGGGATTTTTATCTTTCTGGAAAAGAAAACGGCTCCAGGAGTTTCAATGAGCAGGCTTTCCCCCGGGGACCTTTCTCTAACCATATCTGCGACTCTTAATGCTTCCTCCTTTTCCCATCTGTCCACTCAGCAGCATTAGGGCCAGACAAAGTCCAGATCGCTTGCTCTCTGTGGTCTGGCATTACTGAGTGGTTAACTGTGATGCCTTGAGTCGTGCTTAAGGTACTTGAGATTTCCAGGTTGTCTGCCTTCCTGGTACCTAGGCAAGCCCAGGCCTGCGTGGCTGCCAGCGTCTGGCATGTGCAGCCTGGGGAGGGATCCCTGACCTTATTTATGGTGCTTCTGACTTCAGTCAGCACCTGGCGTGCTTTGTGATCGGGCTGTGCAGAAACCAAAAGCTGATGTTAAAGAGCTTACTGTCTGGAAAGCATCTCGCCTAAAAACCCTTTTGCTTTCTGCATTTCGGTTCCCAGCTGAATGACTACAAGTAGTAAAGTCCTATCACCTTTGTATTCGTACATGCAAAAATGCGATGCTGTCACAAAAAAGTGGTCAGCCCTTAGAAATGGGTAAGCACGGCAAAATTAAAATGGAGGTAGCGTAGGTTGCTATGTATAGAATGAGTCCTAGAGAAACGTTTCACAGTTAGGCGCAGGGATTTGGCAGCTGCAGTGTAACTGAAAGCCTTTGATTGCAGCGGTAAGTTAATAAGGGGGTCAGGAGGTGGGGAAAAATGCCTTTGGTATAAAATGCACTTATTTTTATTTTTCTTGAAAGACCTGTACATAGTCATCTCTTCTTTAGGAGTAAACTGTCAGAGTGGCTGTAACTTGAATTGTCCTTTCTCCTGTATACTCTCTCTGTGATTTACTTGTAGCGTTGCTTATTGTATTGTATTGTTGTTACAATTAGAAGTGAAAGACGGATATTACCAATGTACAGCGCTTATGACATACAGCAATCGTCTAAAACATTAATATAGCTATACTCAAAAGCAGAGAGCCAGGACTTTACTCCCAAGGTTTGTATTGTAATGGTATCAGTATCTCATCTTGGACTGTAACTTTGAAAACAAGCTCTACTTTGCGGATTCTCATTATGAAACATCCGTACCGTGATAAATTGGAAATTTCATTTAAATACTACCAGTTGACGCGTAGGAGCACATACCAGTGGTCTTGAGTACTCTGTGGGGAAAGCGTCTGCCTAGAGACATTCATCTTGCGACCTTGTCAGCTTTACTTGCCTGTTTCTCATGGCCACCTGCAGGGAATCTTAGCTTGGGTACTACCAAGGAGTTGGATTGCTTTGGCTTAATAGGTGAGCAGAACAGCTGTTGCTCAAAATCTACCTATACCCATGCCCTCATGAGTAGCCTGTCCTTTTCTTTTTTGGGGAGTGTCATCTTCTGTTTCCGGATCTGTCAGTGGCCTGCTCTGTGAGCTTGAGCAAATCGCAGCAGCAAGCTGTGTCCGTCTCTTGATGCGTTCATATTTATTAGCAATTTGTTGGCATAATCATGTCTAGTTTTCACATGGGAGCTCCCTTCTTACTGGTTAATTAACCCAAATAGTGATCAGACCGTTATCTATACTATAGAACGCTAATGGGAAGTTGCTAAAACTGTTGCCGGTTGGTCTAGTCCTGGTTTCAGGATGGGTATTCTGCTTGGGGTGAGGTCTCTCTGCGAGCTTATCCTCTGGCTGTAGAGAAGGCTGGATGAAAATAAATGAGAATTTACTTCTACAAAATTCTACTTGAAATGGATAATCTGTATCCAAGTGTAGGCTTTCTAGTCTCTTAAAATTGTTTAAAAATAAAATGTAAAATCTATGGGGTTTTTTACAGTCCTTGTTCCTAAAATGAAAATGCTTGAATGGATGGGCAGTTATTGTCTTGAGTTCACAAATCCAGGTTGTTGGACAGATCAGCATTTTTTTTTTTTTTTAAAGTGTAAAGAAATTACTTTCTTCATCTTGCTTGGATCAACTAACTACATTCCACAATCAGTTGAAGAAATTTATCAGGACTTGAAATCTTCCGGTCCATGGATAAAACCAAGGTGTGAGATGAATTAGCTGATCTTAGGTTAGGGGCCGTAGTAACCAGATGCAGTCTGTGAACTAAACGGAGTACAGATAGTATTTCATAGGACTCTAATAACAGAGTTCTAAGTGCCAAGGATACTCTGGTCTTAATGTTTTGGAGATCCAGGCCACTTCGGGAGGTTTAACTATTAAATGATTTAGAGTAGAAATTCATTTTCTATCCAAATGCAGTTTCATATCCATACGTTTAATAAATGGGGCACATGCAGTTTATACACTAGAAAACTGATAAGTCTTTTTAGCCTTGTAATAGCTAAGAAGCAGCCCTGTATGTGTTAAAGCAAAAAAAGAAAAAAAATCCACCAGTGGGCATGAAGAGCTCGTCTAAAAAAAAATTTTAGAGCATTCATTCTTATTCAGCTAGGCTATTTTCTGTGTTTGTTTATTAATCAGGTGGGCAATGTGGTGCTCTGCAGACCCCTGGGACAGCTGCGGGGCCTTACAGTGCATCCAGGTGCTTCAGCCGCCCCGAGTGCTTTGCCACCTTGGCCGTAAGAGTCCTGAGTTTCCAGTTAAAAGCTTGTCGCGTCTTGACAATGCAGTAAGGGCCGTGTCAGCTGAGCAGACTCTACCTTTAAAGCTGTTTTTCCCCCTAGAAAATTTGCAGGTTCATAGAAAACGCGGTCCTGCCTAGTGCCCTGTCTCCTTGGCACTCGCTGTAGTTCTGCACCTTCTGCGGTGGTCCTGCCAGGCTCTTCCCAGGTGCTCTGCCCTCGCCTTCTAGGCAAAGGATTATCGGTGGCTCTGCTGGGAGTTAATCATTCCAAAGTGATGTCCCTAATTATTCTGTCACAACCTCGTTGCTTGGTGTCAACTTATTACCAGATCAGTGGTCAGCGTGCTGAAGACTGCGCTCAGAGCAGAGGCAGTAATACAGTATTGCCTTTCGTCAGATAACACGGGAAGCTGCTGAAAAATATATTCCTGTGAACTACAGCTTTCTCTTCAGTGGAACCAGACCGCCAAGGGTGATCTCTGCGAGATGCTCGCTTTGCCCTTGCCTGCTCTGGGGCCGAGGTGAAGGATGCCAAAGTCCACCCGGGACGCCGATCAGCCCTGCCCGCCTGCGTGAGAGGCAAATTAGTGCTATTGCAACTTCTGCCCACTTGATCTTTTTACAACCTCGGGAGCCTGGCATCTTCCCACAAGATTCATGCACCTAAAGAAATCCAAGAAGTTTGTAGTTTTGACCCGCTTAGCTGGGTACCCCATCAGTAGCAGGGAATGAGAACAAAGTGGTGTCTTCCTTGGACTTCTTCGTGGTTGGCGAAGACTGTTCACTGAATTTGGGGAGACGAGATGAAACAGGCAAGGTATTAAGAAGGTTTCAGTTCTTGTGTACGCAGGCCTGAACTCCAGCTCCGCTGCTCTTAGTAAGAACTCCAGGAGGAACGTGGGTATAAAATCTGTGCCTGCTACAGACTGTATATTTTGCTAATGTTCTTACTCGGAAGCATCAGGACCTTGGTTTCCTTGGTGTCGGGGAAGTTCTGTGGCACGCTGGCCTATGTTGACTGAAATTGGTAGCGTGCCTCCTTAGATGGCTCGGTGCTTTTGCACAATGATAGTCTCTGGGCCTTGAGTCCTATTCTCGGTGCTCGCTTTCCAGAGGCAGTTCTGCAGCCGCTAGTTGCTCCGTTCCACCGTGGTGCCACTTGCAAATTACTGAGCGGGGCAATGTAGGAGCCATTTGGAAGAGACATATAACGGAGGGATTTGCATCTACAAATCAATCCTCCCCATCACGCTTGGCGAAGGTTTGGTAATAGTGCTGTGGCTGCACGAAGGAGGAGTTTGTGGGATGCAGGACTTGCTGCTGTGTCTGATGGTCCTTGGCTCAGGGGAGCAGGTTGGCTTGGATCAGATGAGGCAGGCGCGCACAGCCTTCCCATAGCTGCTGCTGAGTGTTGTGGTCGCTTAGCTCTGTATCGGCTTATTTGGGGAGTTTCCCCAGCAGAGTGAATCGTCTGACACTTGGTTTAACGTCTCTCATCCTGTTTATGATGTTGAAAGGTAAAAGTTGAAGTCTGAGCTGGCTGTTGTTGCATAACCAGCGAGCACTGTGTGTACTCGGTGGCTGCTACTACTCTTTCACTTGGAGAAATCCCTATCAGTTCCTACCAGTTTTTTTAATAGGAAAGAACTTGATAATTGGGGCTTCGTGGCTGAAACTACTCCACTCTGTGTGACATAAGAGCTTAGCAAAATCACTAACTACATGTACTTGTCTCTTGAATCTAGACCTGTTGCCTCTAAAATGACACCTCTGAAGGACACTTACTATAAAGTTAGCCTTTGCTTTTAGATGCTCTTAATGATAACATACGAGGTAAACGATAGCCTCCTTTGGACCTACTCCTAAGTTTCTTGGGGAGTATAATGTTCATAGTGCGTTTGAAATGTTTGGTCAGATAATCCTCTTCAGGGAGATGCTGGGAGGAGGCATGACAGGAACGATGGCCGTCAACAGAAACCGAACGAGTACCTTCTTCGGGGCTTGAGCCTTGACGCTGCGTAAGCAGACGAGCGCTAAAGCTTGGTCTAAACTTGTAAGATTTTTCTGCTTTAGTTATGCCAGTGTACGCTTACAACTGAGCGTGCTTGTTATGAATGCTTGTGCTGCTGAAATAATCTGTATCGAGTAGAAGCAGTGTAATGTGGTCTCATTTGGGGTCTTTGGCGATCTCGCTGTTACAGCTGTCTGACTTCAAAACAAACAAACAAAAAAAAGCAGTTTTGCTACTGACATAACTTTAATACCATGGGACGTTCCGTCTGAATTCAGTAAAAACACCCAAATGCTTAATTAGGAAGACTTTGGTTGCCTTAACAAAATTAAAATAGCTTTAAAAGATCTGATTAGAGCAAAAGATTCAGCTGAAGTGCCTCAGTCAGGTTTTTCTATCTTTTTGCATTTCAAAATGTTGGATGCAATAATCTGATGATTTATTGCAGAAGTGTGGGGTGGTGGTTTTGGGGTTTTGTTTTTTGTTTGTTTTTTTTTACCCTCCTCTTTGAGTTTCTGCGTCTAAGTTGAGGAGATTGAGAAACTTCTTGATTCATACAGCGGACACATGACTTAATATCTGGCTGATTTCACATCGGCTTGGAAGCAGCATGCCTGGATGCAGCAAACTGTAAGAGGGGACGAATCATCAGCCATGCCTTATGTCGGCGCCTCGGGAATGACTAATAAGAGAGGAGAGGAAACAGCAGCTGAGTGAAAGCAAATAGAAAGATCATCCTAACGGAGCTCTATGTGTTTTGACATGACTGTCTTTCCAGGAGTCTGCTGTGGACTTTTTGCCCCTTGCAAACAAAACTGAGCTGGTGTTAACCAACTCATTCAGAAATCTCGGGTTTCATATGTGGCAATTTCCTTCAGTTCTTTCCAGCTTTTCAGATAAAGTTTTGAGAGTTGACCTTGACAGTCCGGGGAGTCAGCCTTCTTTTGAAGCCAATTTTTAAATGTTTGAAAGTATTGTTCTGGCGCTACTGGGAATTGCGGCAGCTTTTGGCCTGCGCTTTCTAGGTATGTGACTCATACCTTAAAAGAAAAGCTCTGCCCATCTTGGTCAATGTTCTGCAGTCTGAGAAGGGCGAGAAGGCTTTTCATTAAATCTGAATTGTTTGGAAATGTAGCTGTTAGAAAGCAATCTTTGGGAGTTTTCAGCTCAAATGAAAAATGAAGCTGAAGGTGCGGGCTTTTAACTGCATTTTAGTTTCTAAATCATCAGAGAAACCTAGCCTAAAATGTAAACTGTGAAGTTTGGTAAGGCACTTTGGAAACTAGAATCAGACAGGCTCTGAAGCGTGATTTATAGTAAAGAACTTTAAAAAGTGCACGTGGCAGGTACTCCTAGTATACTTCTTTTAAATGCTCATTCTGCAGTGTATGAAATCAGGAGTATAGACCTCAGTGGCAGGGAGGAAACAAAAGTAATTCGTGGAAATTGAAGAATAATTGATGCACATCAGCTGACGGACTTTGGTTTTAGGTGTTCCAGTGAAGAGGGCTTTATTGCGAAAGCTTTAGCAGCCCCATGTCAGGGGTCACTTTTGGGAGTCTTGTTCATGCCCCCAGGCAGGCTCTGCGCGGCTGCGTCTTTGCCGAGTAGCTGCAAAGGCTTCGGAAACGAAGCGGGCTAGCGCGTTTCCTTACAGGGGGAAGTCGCAATGCAAGCACAGAGACCGGGATTAAAGGCCAGTTGCCTAAATGGGGGGCTGTCCTCTTCATTGAACGCAGAGAAACGTAGTGCCTTCAAAAGATTGATTCTTTGCTACTTTCATAAGACACCTAATGTCAGAGTTCTCCCTTTCCCCCTTACCTAGGAGTGCGTCTGTGCTCTCCTGGGCTCACGTTAGCTCTCTTTGGCTGGAATCTGATCGGGCCTAACCTGTTGCCTTCCCTGGACCCCGCCGAACTGCACCGCCGGCCTCCTGGGGGAGGTAGGGCCTCCTGGGGGAGGTAGGGCCTCCTGGTCCCCCAGAGCCCTCCGGCTGCCGCCCCTGCTGAAGATAACGTGCTTCCTCCCCAGCTGCGTCCTGGAAGCAGCAGGCTGTTAGATTCAGCCTTTGTCCTGGCCGCCTGCAGGGGCCCGGGAAGAAGAGGCTTTTCCCTTCCCTGTATTCCAAGCGGTGGCTGCATATTTGCTGTTTTTATTAGTAGACTGTCCTGAGTAGAGCGCACTTGAGCGGCCTTTGACTAGTGAAAATAATGTCGCTGGGTGTAGGGGATCAACGAAACACTAATTAGAGAGATCGTTTGGCATACCCGCAGAGTGCTGTGAGATAGGCCAAGTGAACGAGGAAAACGGGAGCGCGTTTCAGTCTGCATGTGAAGTGGTACTTAAAACGCTGGGCCTGTGAATGTTGCTTATGGTCGTTTCGAGGTGAGGTTCCCTTTAAAATGATAGTTGGTGAGACTTGCTTTTCAGTTCATTTGAATAGAGACTAAATTGATTTCAAATTGAATCCAGTCCTGCCTGTCACAGGCGGGCTTTTTAATTTTGCGCTACCTGCTTTTTCAGTCCTGTAATGGGTAAAAGGTGCTTTTGGCCGGGCACATACACAACGCTGTAAGCATTTTAGGAAAGAGCCTGCTGTCGCTGTGTCCTAGCAGACTTTATAATTCAGCTTCCAAAACTAACCACAAAAGTGTCATTAACATTTTGCTCCTCTTTCGGGCTGTATTGACGTAACTAATGAGAAAAATTCCTAGTAGGCACATAGTATTACATGGAGGTCTTATTGCATGTAACAAAAACTACTCGAGCTCTTACTTGACAGTTCAGGAAGTGGCTATTTCATCCCACAGGGAGGAGTAAGGTTGCAATAAGTTGCAGTGCTGGTAAGAAGCAGCAAGTGCAGAATTCTCAGCAAAGTGGCTTCATCTCTGTGAAGAGCCCTTCTCTCACTTGTAAATGTTTGGTTTGTTTTTACTGAACGTTCCTCAGTAGAAGGTTGGGGTTTCAGCAGATTTAACTACATGCATGTGTATTTGTAAGCCTTTACTCCTTTTGGAAGCGTTCAGAATGATAGAAGTAGCCGAAGGATACCCAAGAAATGGGAAAAAAAAATATATATATATATATATAAAACCACCACGGGTAATCATGAATGTATCTGATGTCAAGGAGGAAGAGCGATGCACGCTGGTTCACCATCTAATAGGAACAGCGGCGATGATGGACAAAAACGGCTCAGTAAATGTTGCCAAAATAGTTTGTGGCTTTAAGTGCCAGAGATCTGTTTGGAAATAATAAGTAAAAGTTGTTACCGCTTTCAGTAGTGTGGCTTGCAGAGATAGAAACAGCTGCCTCTGGTTTCACCCTACAGTTTCTTGAAACTCTCAGCTTAAAATAGATGTCTTTCTTGTGGCTTTCTAAACTTAGCCTTGTTGCTAAACTTGCATGTGTTTCCTTTAAACAGGTTGCAAAATAAAAGCACTAAGGGCCAAGACAAATACGTACATTAAGACCCCCGTTCGTGGAGAAGAACCCATCTTTGTTGTCACTGGACGAAAAGAGGATGTAGCCATGGCCAAAAGGGAAATTCTCTCAGCTGCTGAACACTTCTCCATGATCAGAGCATCACGCAACAAAAACGGTCCTGCCCTGGGAGGGTTGCCATGTACTCCCAACCTACCAGGTCAGACGACAGTCCAAGTCAGGGTGCCTTACCGTGTAGTTGGGCTAGTGGTTGGACCTAAAGGAGCTACAATCAAAAGAATTCAGCAGCAGACACACACCTACATAGTCACTCCCAGCAGGGACAAGGAGCCCGTCTTTGAAGTTACCGGAATGCCTGAAAACGTTGATCGCGCCCGGGAGGAAATTGAGATGCACATAGCCATGCGTACTGGAAACTACATTGAGCTGAACGAAGAGAATGATTTCCATTACAACGGTACAGATGTGAGCTTTGAAGGAGGCACTCTGGGATCTGCTTGGCTTACTTCTAATCCTGTCCCTCCTAGCCGCACCAGAATGATTTCTAATTACAGAAATGATAGCTCCAGCTCCTTGGGAAGTGGCTCCACAGATTCCTATTTTGGAAGCAATAGATTGGCTGACTTCAGCCCAACAAGTCCCTTCAGCACAGGCAACTTTTGGTTTGGAGAAACGCTCCCTTCAGTGGGCACAGAAGATCTCGCAGTCGACTCTCCTGCTTATGACTCCTTACCAACACCTTCCCAAACCATTTGGACCCCTTTTGAACCTGTAAACCCGCTCTCTGGCTTTGGCGGCGACCCTACTAGTAATATCAAGCCTCAGCGAAGAGGGAGTCAACCATCTACTCCTCGTCTGTCACCAACGTTTCCGGAAAGTCTGGAACATCCGCTTGCTAGGAGAGTAAGAAGTGACCCACCTAGTGCAGGCAACCAAGCTGGCCTTCCAATATACATCCCTGCTTTTTCTAATGGTACCAACAGCTATTCCTCTTCCAATGGTGGCTCCACCTCCAGTTCGCCTCCCGAGTCGCGACGAAAGCACGACTGCGTGATCTGCTTCGAGAACGAAGTCATTGCGGCCCTAGTCCCGTGTGGTCACAATCTCTTCTGCATGGAATGTGCCAACAAAATCTGTGAAAAAGAAACGCCATCATGTCCCGTTTGCCAGACAGCTGTTACTCAGGCAATCCAAATTCACTCTTAAATATATATAGATATTATTATATATGGACTTTTAAAACTCTTAAAGGCATGGGTGTAATGGTACCCTCTAGTAAACTTCCTAATGAATTCTGACTGTTGGGCTTTCTTGGGATTAGGCTAAAGTTGTTAATAAATTTATACTTTCTAAAAGGCTGCTATGGTAACACTAAACCTAGGTGGTCTCTGTCCAGTTCAGTTTAAACAGATGGCATGTTTAGCAGAGATGCATCTGGTAGAATGTTATGGCACAGTAAGGGGAAATCTTGATCAATTACAAAACCGAAAAACAAACTTTACAGGCTTTCTAAATGATCTGTGTTGAGTGCTTTGCTTCTGTGCGCTGGCAGCGGTGAACCTCGTAGCCAGAACACAGAAGTATGTGTCTGCTGTGGAGGGTTTGTGGCATTATCAGTATATCAAACAACACTTCCAATGCTGCCTTCTTTACACTGCCAGTTTTGAAAAACAGGTTTGGGGAATTTTTTTTTTCTTTATGCAACAACTTATGCCTAATTCTTCAGCATTGCAGATACTTTTTTTTTTTTTAAAGCATAATTTGATTTATTGAAATGGATAAAGTTATTGGCGGGTTCAGATAAATTACTGTTAAGGTGGGGGGGGGGAGAGAAGATGCCCAGTGGACCTCCGTTTCACCCAACGTGTTAACAGTAGTATGTTCAGAGGATCAGGAACGTATTGGTCTCAATTGTGAATTCCTACCCACTGCTTTTCTTAATGTAATGTGGAAAAGTCTGGCTGGCTTAATCCCATTTCAGTAAGGGCTTTGGGATGCACATACTTCGACTAATAGTGAGGATGCTGACATTCCGTTCATTAGTCCGATCAAGCTGTTCTTAAATTACCTTTTAGAGAATATATAGTTCAAAATGTGAAGCATTTTTATGTTCAATCCATATTTGTCTTGCACATATATAAATATATATTTTATTTTTAGTAATGGAAAGGAAAAAGGGGAGATGGGTGCGTGCCCTTGTATAATTCATGACAGCAGCTGTGACAGTGGCCCTGCAATCAGCTTACTTCATTTCAAAACTGTCTTTCCAATCATAAGGAAACATGTCTTTTGAATGCGCTTCTTGCATTTCAACCTGTGGATGTTTCTAGCTTTTTCATCCTCAGTACGTTCCCGAATCTGTGCTGGCATATATTAAAACAACAGAAAACAAAAGACACAAAGTGAAGTTCTAGTGGATTTTTCTATTTCTTTTTTTTCCGAAGCATTATTTTCCCAAGACGAGACAAAGCTTTTTTCTCAGTATAACAAAATGAAATTATATGTGTATTGAACTAGTAAATATACAGAAATTTTATTTTTTATTTCCACTTGAAGAGTTACATTTCGTATAAAAGTTTACAAATAACGGTTTTTATTTTATGATTTTCAGTATAAGAGTTGCCTTGATGGCATATTATGTAATGCATAACTTTAATGCTAATTGCTTGTAGACTAGTTACATGTCAGTATTGGAACCTAATCTTTAGCTGCAGTCTTGTAGATATGAACAGACGTTCACCAAGCATGTATTTTGTATTTTATTGCATTGTACACTGCAACTAATAAGCCAAGGAATCGACAGACATTAGGTGCGTGTACCATTTCTATAAACCACAAACTAAGAATGATAAACTATCAATATAGTTTAGTATTTGCTAATTTTACTACACTTTTTGTTATGTATATGTAGGGAGGTCATAGGGATTATAAATTCAATTTGAGTAAAGTTTAAAAACCATATATTTTATGATAAAGGGCCTTTAACTTATGATGGCCAAAGCACTGATATTATATATTTGCTGTAAAGAGAATTATAAGAGTTTTATTTTTCTGATATTAAAAGTTACTTAATAAAGACTTGTTTCCATTAACTTGAATGTTTTGCTGTCTTCATGGTTGTCAATTCAAGCAGCCTTTGTGGAAAAACTCGGGTCGTTTGACGTAGCTCCTTCTTACTTCCCGACGAACCGGCTTCCCGTTATTTACTACAGTGTGGACGCGACCTTGCCGTGGCTAAACGACTTCGAGTGAGGAATCGCCTCTTCTGTTACCTGTTACGTGTAGTCTTTAAAAAGCAGCCGTGGGCTTGCCGAGTTCACCGCTATGGTTATGCGGTAACGGTCAAGAACAAACATCCAGGGAACGTAACGTCAGAGTTGCTTTGATGCTGGTAAGATAAACTCCGTTCGCTCGTATCTGCCAGTGTCTCGAGCAGATAATCACAAAATTACCTGCCTCTGATTTCAGGTTGCAGGTAGCTTTTGTCCTGTTTTCTCCCAAGCTAATGGAAGTTTGTAACGTGTGCGTGGTGCAGGATGCTGAAAGGCCTTTGCTTGACGCCTGTCCCCGGCTCTTTGCCGTGAGCCGCATCTTCTCGCTTTTCCTCTTTCGACTCGGGTTTATGCCTTTGGGAGGAGCCCTGGTGCCATCTCCCTGGCTTGGCTGCTTCGCCGGTGCTTTTGGGCTATGCCTGACTGCTTGGGTCTTTCACCCGTGTGCGTTCTTGTACCCCGCTGGAGCGATCTTCCCTGCTCCTTGCAAAGAGGGACGTGAGCAGCCCCCCTTTAGGAAGGGAGGAGGTTCGCAGCAAAGTGGAGCACCTGACCTGTAGATCCACTCAGTCCTAGTGTGGGTAAGAGTGGCAGAAGTTAATATAAAAAGGCATTTTAAGGCCATCTGGCCTTTTAAAAAAAATGCCTGTTTATGAATCCTGCAGGCCCTGCTGATGGGGGCCGCTTGCTGCAGCCCGGGTCTCACCAGCCCTGCAAATGTTGCCTAGGTTTGCTTTCCCCCTCCCTAAGTAGGGATGTTGGATCGTTGGGTTCCTTGGTGTACGCTGAGATGGTCCAGCCCGCGCGTCTGGCCTGCCGCTGCCGAACACGGCAGCTTGGAGCTTGTGTCCTCAAACCCCGACTTTGCAGTCAGCTTATAGTGAATCTCAAAGATGCATCAAAGAGTATTTAAATCCACTGCACTCAGGTGTTGGAGCATTTTTAGCGTTGCAGCAGGAGGCCTCAGACTTAAACCCTCAGGCCGTAGTTAGGTGTAACCTCGTTCTTTCTAGATGCACCTGAACAATCCGAAATCCCAACCTTCCCAAGCAGTTTTATTTAGTGAAGTGAGAAGCATCGCAGTTGCTTCTGAGCTGCACGAGACAGACACAGGCTTGAGACTCCAGTTCTCCTGAATTTGCTGTAGTGAGTTTATTTTTCCATGCTCAGGAGCTCTTCTGATGGGTGACTAAACAGCTAGGAATGTTAACTCTTGTTAGCTGAAGGTTAAGCACTTGCTGCCGTGCAGTCAGATTTAATCAGTTTGTCCATCTACCAGGTGGTCAGATTCGGAAAGCCTTTGTTTTTCAACATTTTAATACTTAATTTTTTTTTTTTAAGGTCAAAGCTTAAGCTTGCATTTTTCCCTTTCTCGCGGTGCAGCTCGGACACCGAAGAATCGAGTTGCTTTTGCATCTGGGTTTTGTACGCTGGCCCTAGGAGTAACTCCTGCAGCAGCCTTTTGAGGGTTGAGCGTTTGTGTTTGGGCTAGATGAGTTCGGTTTTGGTCACAGGCCTGCTCTTCCAGCAGGTTATAGCCCCAGCCCCAAGTTTGGGGTTTGCCCTGTTTCTTGGCCGTTTTGCCTCGCTAGACGTGCACAGCAGCAACGTCTGGTGCAGTCCGTAACCTAAGGAAATGCACTCAAACAGCTTCTCTGCCTTTCGCCTTCAGGGCTCGGGGAGGGAAGGAGCGGATGGAGGAGGAGGGAGTGCGTGACATGTCCAAACTATCGATTAGGGAATTCAGTCGTCTTTAAGTTTTGCAGATATTGTTCGCTAATAATCTCTGCAGCTGAAGCTTTAGAAGCGGTGCAGCCGCCTTCAGGCTTTGGAGCTGCAAGTCCGAAGGATGTGGCCCTCTCGTGACGATTCCTGAAAATAAGCCAGGGTTAAAATGTTTTGCTCGGCTATAAACAGAACTCAGACTTTCTCATGATGTTAGGCATAGCTCAGGAGTTGGCAATAGAAGACCAAAATGTGTTTAAGTTTAAAAAATAAATAAATAAATAAATAAAAATCTCTGGTGTGCTTAATGCTCCCTTTTCATTCCTGGAAACATTCCAGCTGAGCCTTTGATGGCAAAGCTATTTGTTAAGGTATCTTGGCCATTTGATCTTTTGAAACCGAAATCTGCTTTTTGCTTTTTTTTTTTTTTTTTT